CTTGGTCAGACCACATTCTCAGTACTGTGTTCAGTTCTAGGTACCACCTTTTAAGGAGTTTTAAGCTGGATAGTTCAGAGAATGATGAGCCTCAAATTCACACCATCTGAAGATTGTTTGAAGGAACTTAGAGGGGAGTGCTGAACTTGAGAGCTGTCTGCAAGTATTTGAAGGGTTGTCACAAGGGAGGAGGGATTAGATTTGTTCTGCTTGGCCCCAGGGAGTAAATTTAGGCTTGATGTCAGGAAAAGACTTTCTAACCATTGAAGTTATCCTAAAGTAGGATAATGGGTGGCTAGCGGGCCTTCCAACGTCAAATTATGTGATTTGCTATAATACAATTAAAGCTGGAAGGGCTCTTGAAAGGCATCTTAGTGCAAGCCCCTCATTTCACAAGAAACTGAGGCCGAGTGAGGGGAAGGCCTACTTAATGTTGGCCTGCGGTCTCTGCAACCCTGGCCCACAGGGAGCGCTTCAAGGAGGTTTCTTGGGTTTCACATAGCATAAGCTGGAGTCTTACAGACCCTCATGCTCAGCACAACCCAATCTTACATAAGAAAAAACGGAGGCCCTAGGTGGCAGCGAAAAGACCGAGAAGCTGCTAACACGTTCGGGGACCGCCCCTTAGGCCGACTCCGCCCCGCCCAAGCAGCCAGTCCTAACGCGGGAAGTTCGCAGGTTGGGCGGTGCGGGCCGGGCTCGCTACGGTTTACCACCCAGCCATTGGCTCACGCTACGCGCAGGCGCAGCGCGCTTGTGCACTCGCTACAGTTTACCCCCAGCCATTGGCCCAGATCATGCGCAGGCGCAGGGCGCTTGTGTGCGCGCTACAGTTTTACCGCCCAGCCATTGGCCCAAGACCGTGCGCCATACGCACGAGGCAGGGGCAAGGGGAGAGGCGGAGAAAGGGAGGAGTTAGTGAGGGAACTCGGAGGAGGCGGGGCGGTCCCGGAGCCGGTGGGTTCTGCTTCCGTTTCCGCTCTGAAGACACGTGAAGGTCGGTGGGTTCTTGCGGCTGGCGGGCTTGCGGTTGTTCGCGGTTGTTCGCGGGGCCAGGTCGGCATGGATTCCTCATCGTCCGTTGCGGGGCTGGGCTCCGTGGACCCGCAGCTGCAGCATTTCATCGAGGTGGAAACTCAAAAGCAGCGATTTCAGCAGTTGGTGCATCAAATGACTGAACTGTGCTGGGTGAGAAGCTGGGAGCCTGGGACCCTCCACCCATTCCGCGTCCTGCCCCGCTCTGCTTTCTGCCTGGTCGCAGAGACACGGGGAGGGAGGGAGGGAGGGTGGTCACCTACTTCGAACACTAGAGTGGCCCCTCCTTTCTCTGGGAAACGGGGATCCTCACTCGGTTCTAAGGGGGCTAGATTGGTGGTGCAGACAGAAACCCGATCTCCCCGAGACGCCTCGCCTCCCCCCCCCCTTTAGTGGTAGTACTCAGCTGGGTAAAGAGTGTAATTGGAGCCCATCTCTGCACTGGGATCTTCTTTTTTGGAAGCCCAAATCCCATGGAGTGGGAGAACTTTTACACTTCTGGACCTCCACTTCAAGGTGTCTCCTGATCATACTTAACTTTATTTCTCTGGGAAAAGAGTGAAGGTAACCCACCAACCGAGGAGGTGGAATCCTCCATCTCTCCCATCACTGATGAGTCGTTTGGGGAACAAAGTGTGCCAGCCCAAAGGTTAGGTGAAACTTGGCCAGCTTGTGTCACTACCTTTGGTGTCCATTGTTTCCCTATGCAAAAAATTCCATAGAACTAAGAGGTGGTGCTGGGATAGGTTTTGTTTTGGGATAATGGCTGGGAGGCAAGTGTATTTGTATGTAGGTCTGGGAAACTGAAAGTATAGACTTTTATCAAGTATGGGACTTGAGCCCCATGCATTGAACTACAGGTAGTAATTTGTTTCCAAAGCATTTCCAGGCTGTGGCCAAGTAAAATGCCTCTTGAGATCTTTGATCTGATTAAATTCAGAACAAAGAGAATTTGCAAGTTTTGGAAACGTTGCCTTATCCTCCTTTACCCTTTGCAATGTTCACTTAATTCAGAAGCAGTTTTGGGCTAGACCTGAGTTCAACAGCAAAAAGGCGAAACTGGGCCACTTTGCATTTTTCACAGTTGTTGTATTCTTGTGTATTCAGAATTGGGTTTCTTGTTCCCTGTCATAAATGTATGTGTGTGTGTGTGTGTGTGTGTATTTTTTGTCGAGGCAATTGGGGTTAAGTGACATGCCCAGGGTCACACAGCTAGTAAATGTCAAGTGTCTTGGTCTGAGACTGGATTTGAACTCAGGTCTTCCTAACACCAGGGCCAGTACTATATCCACTGCACCACCTAGCTGCCCCCTCGTAGATTGTTTTTATACAATGCTTTTTCTTCTCTGGAATTTGGTATCTGTAAAACCAAATCTTTTCTTTCTTTTCTCGTGCAGGAAAAATGCATGGACAAGCCTGGGCCCAAATTGGACAGTCGAGCTGAGACGTGTTTTGTGAACTGCGTGGAGCGATTTATTGACACAAGCCAGTTCATCCTGAACCGATTGGAGCAGACACAGAAGTCCAGGCCAGCCTTCTCAGAAAGCCTGTCTGACTGATCTCAGCATAACTCTCTGTTCTGTTTTTCCAAAAGAACTTTAGAGTTCAAGAAAAGAACTATGACGGGATGGTAAAAGGAAAGGCTGTGGGGAGATTGGCTTCCATTTTTTATCCCAGCCCTTTGGGATGTTCTGTCATCTGAATGAGCAAAGAACAGTTTTGTGAGTCTGGGGGTTGTGTTTTATTTTGAAATGCCAGTTTTATGAAAATTTCAGATGGTCGAGTGGAAGACTACTAGATACATTTAAACTATACACAGGGCTGTGTTCTTAATGTTCCATTGGCTTCTTTGTAGGTATTCAAACTGGGACCATATAGGTAGACTCCCTCATCTGTACATGTTAATTTCAAACCTGTGGGAGGGTGGGGTTGAGATAATAATTCCTCACATCTAGCAAAGGAGAGAAACCATTTGGTACTGCAGTTTCAGGCCTCCTTATCCATTTTGTGACTTAATCAGGGCTGGGCAGATCTGTAATACAGTGTCCAGACTAGACACCTCACTTCAATGGTATCCATCTTCCTCCTTTACTATGACTTATTTTAAATACCTATATACGGTACATGTCAGTAGACAATGCTGAGAGGCTAAGAGGCCTTTGGATACAGAGAAATGTAGCTGAATTATCTAGTGAACATAACTTTTGCCTCCCTCTTGGCAGTCTCAAAATGAGAATAATTTGCCCTGAGTTTCAGGGCATTGAGTGACGGAAAGATGTGCCATAGTTTCAGGTAGAGGGGCACACTTCATGTATTGACTCATTGTTCCCTTTATTGCAAATCTTCTGATTACTGAAATAAAACCCTTTGCCTCAGGTTGACCTGGTTTTGGGAAAACTTTTCTTTCCCTGGTTCTCACCACTCAACACCTGTGTACCCATTTTTGTAGTACTTCAAGGTCTACAAAATACTTTCCTCATACATCATAACTTACAGGGTAGTTGTAGGTACCATACTCCCATTTCACTGATCAGACAACTCGGAGTAATCCTGAGCTGGCCGAAGATCCCAATTGACAGAGCTGGGGCTTCGAGGCCTCGTCCTTTACCTCCAGTGCCAGGTCTATTTTAAGTACGTCACCACCTCTACTAGCTAGTTAAAACTTGGACATGGGCTAGTGCCAGGACTTCACATTGTCACTCAATAAGGATTTGCTGAGGGACTGTTGTGAGGCACAAGTCTAGGAAGAACCTCCAAACCGTGGGGACATGAACTTTGCTCTACATTTCCCCAAGATAATCAAGTTTCTTAGCAGAACAAAGTAATGACTGCCAGCTACACTCCTCCCTAGACAGATCTCAAAGCAAGAGGCCACTGGCTTAGAAATGCTCAAGTTGTTACACATCTTGGCTGTGTATCCCCAACTACTTACTAGAGGGGAGGTAGTAGTATAGTGGAAGAGCAGGATTTGGAATCAGGGTCCAAGCTAAGAAGAGTTCTAGCTCTACCAGAGAACCTGGGAGACTTTGGGCAAGTCAGTCTCTCTGGGCCTCAGGTTTCTCAGCCATGGAGTTGAGATTAGACTCAATTTTAAAGGTCCCTTCCAAGTTTGGAGGTATTGCTGCTGGTGGGGGGGAGGTGTCGGGAAATTGGACTTCTTTCTTCATTCAAACTTCTAGCTGGTAGACAAAATATGAAAATAATTTAACCCACGAAAATTACTTCAGAATATATAGAAACCTAGACAACAAATACCAAAAAAGGGCAAACTTAAGTATGCAGATGCTGGGGGCACTCCAGTAAGGGAGCGATTAAAACCAGACTGTATTAATAAAGGTTTTAGAAAGGTAAGCTGAACCATCCTGAGCTGGAGGGAGGGGCATTGGGTGACAAAGGATTTTATTTTATTTTTAAGGACTTAATTTTAGTAAGCGGCCTTACTAGCCTGGTCCTGTTCTTAAATCCTGGAATAGCTAGGCCGCTCAAGTCATTCCAAGTGTGATGATTTGACATGGCACTAAGGCAGCCTCTGCTCCCAACTCGGCTTTGAATCTGACCTTCCCCTCTGAAGCTGCTACCAGCTTTAGTTTTTCTTGTTCTATATACAATGATTTATGAACATAGTGAGGGGGCCAAATAATTCCTTATCTTTGTATGCCAGCACCATGCCTTACATATTGCAGCCACTTCATAGTTGCTGCTTACCAATAACAACAAAATTAAGGCAACCTCAGTATGTAAATTTGAAATTAGTTTATTACTCAGTTCAGTCACCAAAACCCACTGGATTCTTTCCCCTAGAGAATAGTTTTTGTTCAGTCATTTTCAGTCATGTTTGACTCTGCAAACCTCATTTAGGATTTTCTTGGTAGAGATACTGGAGGTTTGCCATTTCCTTCTCCGGCTCATTTTACAGATGAGGAAACTGAAGCAAACAGTGTGAAGTGACTTGCCCAGGGTCACACAGCTAGGAAGTGTCTTGAGGCTGGATTTGAATTCAGGAAAATGAGTATTCCAGACTCCAGCCTCATTCACTCTATCCACTTCAGTGCCACCTAGCTGCCCTTCTTGAGAAACAGAATCATCAAAGGCTGCATCAGCTCTGCCCCTTAGTGTCTGTGTGACCCTGGACTCATTAATCTCAGTCTCAGCTTCCTCACCTGTAAAATGAAGGAAGTGGACCAGCTTCTCACTCCTATGATGCTTTACAAATAGAACAATTCTAGATTCTTTCAGCCATATATAATAAGTCATATCCTTTGCACGGACCATGGATTAACCAATAGTTGTCTAACACAGATGATGAAGCAGCTAGCTTAGCAGAGAGGGCTGGCCTTGGCTGTTATCTGTTAAACTGGCTGTGTGACCCTGGCCAGGCCAGTTCATTTTGGTCTCCCCCAGGCAACTCTCCAAAACTAAGGTACCGATGACCTGTGAAATGAAATCCTTTGTCCTTAATGGGTGACAAAGAGATGATTCATGGACCTTTTCTGTAAGGCTATTTAAGGAATCTATAACTAGCTAGAGGAAACTGAGCTCAAAGTTGCAGGCACACTGCGGTTTCACTTTTCCCCAGACTGAAGCTATCCCTAGAATGAAGAACAGGAACAGAAATGCCTATATTGCTCATCAAGAATCCACATTTATTAAGCATCAAATAAAAACCAGAGTGTCCCCTGCCCTCAAGGAGCTTACATTCTAGTGATTACTTATCTCTTTCAAACACACCACGAGCCTCCTATAGACTCCATACATCACTACTATTCCAGGCAAGAACACTCCAAACTCCAAGGTGGTTTGCAGACAGGAAGCATAATCCCTATAACTGCTGTTCATGCTGGTGTGGAGGCTGCCACTAAATCTGGAAGTCTTCAGGGAAATGGTGAAGGACCAGAGAACTCTTTGCTCTAAGCCAAGCCAAAAACTCACATCTGGGGCCATTTAAGCTGCTTCTCTCCTTGGTCTCGAACATTTTACATTTACAAGCGACTCTGAATGTACTTTAACAGTATAATTTACAGGAACTGGGCAGAACCAGCTCTCTAAGTATAAAACTGGGCCAGCTAGGACTGGGTAGCTAAATAATCTTTGCCCTTCAGCTTGGGGATGGGATTGGGGTGGGAGTGGAGGTTAATAATCTCTGGAATGTGGTTTTTAGAATTAAATCCTCTTACCAGGCAGGTGGTAGCAGCCAGCAGTTATTAGTAATTATACTCAAGTCCTTGATATAAACTTCAGGATGGTCAGGATTCAGTTAGCACTGAAAGTGACATAAAAACACCTTTAAAAACATTTTTTAAAAACCTAGCCTTCACTAAACACTTAAAACATTCGAATTCTCAAACTGTAACAAGTAAATCAGACTAACATCAGTGCTTTTAGGTTTCTGTATGAACTAGTGATGAGAGATAGATGGTTCTTTTCACAAATACTTCACCAGTATACATATACAACCACATATACATCTAGCAGCATGTCTTACAATAACTCAGCATATTAGGCAAGTGAAGCAAATGAGACTTTAGAAACAACATGGCAGTTGGGAAGGTTCTGCTGTTCCACTGCTTACTAGTTAGGTATTAATTTGCTCCTCTCCACAATATAATTTGATCTGGTCTGGCTGGATGTCAGAGGCCTGGGCAGATCTTAAGTAAAAGTACAAAGGCCACCTTACCCAACAGAAACAGGGAGTGTTCTGCCTAAGATTATTCACAGATATTCAACCACAATGTTCTGGAACTCTTTGTTGGGATCATCTCCATCTAGAAGAGGCTGATTTTGCCTTTTGTTTTCCCTCCAGGGAGGAGCACGGGAATTACCTGAATTTGACCTCAGAGAAAAATATATCAGGTCAGGAGAAAAAGGGATATCTCGAAAGGCATGAAGAAGGAAAATGCCAAAAACTATGGTTAAGAAACCGCTGATTGTGCCAATGATACTGTCTAGGACCATATATTGCCATTCCTTAAAGAGAATGGCAGAGCAAGTCATGACAGCTGTGGTGAAAAGGACATAATAGATGGGAGTGACTATCGAGGTATTGAAAATGTCCAAAGCCCGGTTCAGATAGTTGATCTGAATGCTTATACAAACCACCAGACAAAACAGCAGCACCCAACCAAGGGGTTCCTTCAGGACAGACTTCCCTGAAAAAAGCTCCTTCAGGGAGATGCCCAAACCCTTGACGCAGGACACAGAAAGGGAACCAATTGAGGAGCAGATCAGAACGTACACCAGGACATTACTATGGCCATATCGAGGTCCTACCACAAAGATAAGGGCAGTGGAACTTGCCAGCACACATATGGCAAATCCAATGAATCCTGAGAAAAAAGAGAATTCAATCAATAAAAATTTGAAATCTATTATTACACACACATTTTTATTTTGACATTCAGTCATCTCAGTCGTGTCTGACAGGCATAAGAAATGCCAAATCATTAAAACATATACATCTCAGCGAGAGTAACAGTGAATCAATTTGTCTGTCCTTTAATCATATTCACCAGTAAGGTTTTAGTTCTAAATTTTCCCCTTCTACCTGTCCCCATCAAAAAGGTTTAAAGAGAGGGATCGTTTCTGCCTCAGAGGTACCTACTAGGAAACAGGGGGGTGGGGGGGGTGGGGGGAACAGGGATGGGGACACACACAACAGATCAGGGTTTAGGCACATTAGTAGAAAATTCATTATGGAGAAAATGGCCAACAGGATTTTGAGCTATCAAATTAATAGATTCTCCAACTGGAAGTAGTGCTTCTGCTAAGGGTTACATTAGGGTGTCTAAAACATTACAAAAAGGTTAGAAATTATATGAATTATTAAATCTGGGTAATTATATGAAATGTACCTTGAACTCTGAGAAATGTGATAAAATAATGGAGAAACAGAGCTAGGAGATACTTGTTTAATTTGCTTCATCCTCCACAGAAAAGAGAAAACAAGTCAATGAATGCTCTTAAAGGTCCCCTTCCAAGTTTGGAGGCATTGCTACTTTTTTTGGAGGGGAGGGGGGGGAAATTGGACTCTTCCCTACATTCAAACTTCCTCTCTAGTTGGTAGACAAAGTGTGAAAATAATTTCACACCTAAAAATTACTTCAGAACATTTAGGAACCTAGACAACAAATGCAAAACAAAAGGTAAACAAAGGGGGAGGGGAGTGTTGTCCTTGGTGGCGCTATAATCCTACATAGTAGGTGCTTTGTTGAGAACCAGTAAGCAAAAAGGAACTGAAGGTTTCAGTCTCCAGTGACAAGAAAGTGGTTCTACCAACAGAAACCAGGAGGTTAGGATGGAGGGCAAAGTTAAATGGCTAATGAGTTTGGTTTGTTTTGGTTTTGGGGGGTTCTTTTTGGCTGGGCAATGGGGTTAAGTGACTGGCCCAGGGTCACAAAGCTAAGTGAGTCTTATATGTCTGAGGCTGGATTTGAACTCTGATCCTCCTGATTCCAGGGCCGGTGCTCTATCCACTTCACCACCTAGCTGCCCCCGTGAGTTTGGTTTGGAACATCCAGAATGAGATGTCCATAAGCCCTATCTCAGTGCTATTGAACGTTATTTAACCAATGACTTGGATAAAGGCTTATCAACTCGCTGATGATGACAGAATTAGGATTCTAAAGGGCCTCACCAGGCTAGACCACTGGGGTAAACTGTATTGAATCGGGAAAGATGTGTTGGGTTAAAACTGTACCTTATTTTGGTGCCTCTGGCCACCTCCCCCTCCTTTCTACTTAGCATGATAAGTATATTTACAAGGAGCCAGTTTAAAGTAGCAATAGCAGGAAATAAGATTGCAAAGGGGAACCTAGAAGTTGTGAACAAGCTGTTCCAAAGATAAAAGGAGCATAATTTACAAACTGTATTGTATCTTAACCAAAAATCACATCCTGGTAATATGTGCTGACTCAGGGGAAGTCATCTGGGCTTTCTTTGTCAGACCTTTGGCTCCTATGATACAGAAATCTCAGAGAAGTTCCTGACATCTGTAGTAAGTCCAGCAGAACACCAAATGGTGCTGATAACTTTGAGAGGATGTGAATATGTTAACGAACTAATTCCAAAGTGGCACAGATAAGAGTAAGTCTGTTCTCCTCAAAAAGCTATAAAAACAAGACCTTGAATTCTTTCCCCTCCATCTGGGTCCATGCCGCCAAGGGTTCCCAACTCTAATCCACAGTTACTCAAGTGATTCTCCATACCTGTCTCCCTCCCCCTCCTCCTCTGATGCCCACCTTCCTCTGCCACCCTATCCCCCATTGTCTGTCTTTGTATCCCTCTTCCCTGACTGTCTGTACTTTCTGTGCCTGTTCCTCCCTCCACAATACCATGATGGCAGTGGGAAGTGAGGTTTAATTGCAGCCTTACTTCCCACTGTCATCATGGTCTTGCCCATCAAGTACCTAAAGAACCAGGCATGCCTACCCCATTTCGTGTTTCCATAAAGTATCAATTCATGTGATCTCACACTTGGATTAAGAGAAATCAACTTTGCAAGTACAAGACGGCTAGTCAGCAGTTCCTCTGAAAGACCCTAGGGTGTCGAGGATTACAACAAGCCCAGTGAACAACTATGAAATGGCAACCAAAAAAGCTAAAGCAACATTGAGGCACATTAAGAGAGACACTGTGTCCAAGAATAGGGAAGTAAGCATTTCAGCCTCACTTTGCCCTGGTCACCTTCACTGTGGACACTGTGGACACTGTGTTCATTTACCTGTGGATACTACATTTCAGGAAGGACGGTGATAAGCCTGAGAACATTCAGAGGAGGCTAACCAGGATAGTCCTAGAAAGATTAGCTGAAAGAACGGGGGGGGGGGGGGGAGGCAGATAGCATAACCGTGTCAAGATGATTATACAGAAGAGGAATGCCACTGGTTCAGGCCCCAGACACAGCTAGGAGCAGTGGGGAGAAGCTGCAAAGGGGCAAATTTCAGCTTGATGATAGGAAAAACTTCCTACCAACTAACTTTAGCCATGAGGGTAAAGGCCTGCCTCAGAACATAGTGAGTTTCACCTATCAGACTGGCCAACATGACAAAACAGGAAAATGATAAATGTTGGAGAAGACGTGGTAAAATTTGAACACTAATGCATTGTTGGTGGAGTTGTGAACTGATCTAGCCATTCTGGAGAGCAATTTGGAACTATGCCCAAAGGGCTATAAAAATGTGCATACCCTTTGACTCAGCAATAGCACTTCTAGGGCTATATCTCAAAGAGACCATAGAAATGGGAAAAGGACCCACATGTACAAAAATATTTATAGCAGCTCTTTCTGTGGTGGCAAAGAATTGGAAGTTGAGGGGATGTCCATCCATTGGGGAATAGCTGAACAAGTTGTGGTATATGAATGTAATGGAATACTATTGTGCTATAAGAAATGATGAACAGGCAGACTTCACAAAAACCTGGAAAGACTTGTATGGTCTGATGCTGAGTGAAGTGAGCAGAACCAGGAGAACGTCGTACACAGTAACAGTCACGTTGTGCAATGACTAATATTGATAGAGTTAGCCCTTCTCAGCAATACAAGGATCTAAGACATCTCCAAAGACCTCATGATGGAAAATGCTATCCACATCCAAAGAAAGAACTATGGAGTTTGAATGCAGGTCAAAGTATACTATTTGCAAAAAACCAAAAAACCCAAAAAACATAGTGAGTTCTCTGCCTGAAAGGATTCAAGGAAGGGCTGCCCTGCCATCTGCCTGGGTATTCTTTTTCAGGTTGGACTCAATGGCCTCTGAGATCCACCCCCTCCGGCTCAGATCTTAGGAGGGCCAAGTGAAAGTCAAAGGGAAACAGAAAGCCTAGAGTAGATTTGGCTCCGCTTCTGAAATTTAAGGCCTTGATGTATTTGTCTGGCCTACTGTGCTACATCAGCAGTTTGGAAGATGAAAATCGAAGGAATTCCATGAGGGCATTAAAGGTCCCAGCTGGAGGTCATTCACATGGTCTCCACAACCTGCATTTCTTCCTCACTACTAGCTGACTAGCACTGTCTCTCATTCCTGTCCCAAGTAATCTGGGTACCACGTCTATTCCACTCAATAGATGGGAAAGTTGACTTCTGAACTTTATGGGGAAAAATAGAGCTTCTCTCTTTCTCTAGGGATGAAATCAAACCTTCTGTTTGTTCTCATGGAAGGTAAAGTGGATCATAGAGGGGGAGGTGGTCACAAAAATGTTAAAAACTACTGATCTGATCAATTATATAGAATTAAAAAGAACTCACAAATGTGATTAATAAAGTCCAGAGTAAACAAAATACAGTATCCTAGAGAGAGATGGCGATTTCCTCTCATCTCCTGTCTTCCAAGGCAGTATTTTCTAAGAAGTTGCCATGCAACTTGATTTTCTGCCAGATGTCCTCAGATTAGCGTAATCAGAAGCAGAGGCAGGTACTGAGAGTCTGGAGTTTGGCGAATTAGAAAAACAAAGAATCAGAAGTAGAAGATGGAACAAATTAGTTGCTTTGACCAAAGTCTTTATTGGCTAGTGGCCAACCAACTGATGAGTCGCTGCTCTACATTTAGGAAGGCAGACACCGTCAGCAGAACCATATTCGAAGCCTTTTCAGCTGAGAACTTATACATACCAGAGGTTGCACAAGTCTAGAGAAACTACAGCCACCTCCATGTCACAATGAGACACCAGAGTAGGACTGGAAGAGTGTTGAAAGCAGGAACTACCAAAACCATCTACCTTCTCCCAACTAAAATTCCAACCAAGGCTTTTGTCATACTAAGGTATTTCAAATCAAAATCATGTTAGAATTTCCCTTATGGTACCTGGACTTCTCAGCTTCTCAGACATCTCTGCCAAGGTGAAGATCATGTCCTCCTGGGGGGCATGGATCACCATCATCGTTGAGCCCAGAATACTTAGCACACAACCAATCTTCCCATGAATGTTCAACTTTTCATTCAAGAAGTAAGAGGACAAAATGGAACTGAGGGTAAACATAAAACATGTCAATAAACTCAGGCAGAGATTCTTTCATCAATAACACTCAGCTGTAAATCAATACCATACTGGCTCAGCACAGGGAGGATTCTGAGTGCCAGGGAAAACAACCAGGTTCACAAGAGTGAACTATATTCACTATATTACATAAGACTGCAACAGGAGTGAGATAGCTAAGCATTTAATTGGACCAAGCTGATCCTGGGGGACAAAAAGGGGGGGGGGAGAACTGGTAGTAGACACAGGAAGATAAAAAAAACCAAAAAAAAAGTGAATGTATAAATAGTCATTTAAGTTGGGCCAGGGTTGGTGGGCGGGAAGAAAACAATTTGCTCTATTCATGAAAAAGAATTCATCGCAATAGGAGACTCATGAAGTTCCAAAAGGAAACTTTCTCCCCAAAACAGACAGAGTTAAGGGAAAGAAAAGCTTTTTTCTCCTAGGAAGTAACATACTTCCAGTAAGTAAACTTAGGAAAAGAATGCAAGAAAACAAGGATATTGGGGAAATGGAAGAAAATATCTTCACCAATAATTCATCATCATTTCAGGTTGCTAGGACACAGACTCAAATAAAGCACCTGAACACTGCTTACCTCACTAACACACTCAGTGCACCCAGGGGTGTTACTAGTGTGGCTGGGGGCAAAAGCATAGGCAGCAAAATTGGCAGCTTCTCCGACCCCCACTGCAAAGGAGAAACAACTTTCTTGATTAGGGAAGTGATCTGCATTACAAGCAAAACTTGGCATGAGTACAATGTTATCTATAGCAACTACAGGTTCACTATCATCTCTCATCAGATCTTGATGGAGACAGTCCAGGACCCTGAACCCAAGAGCTTTGGGAATAGCAATGCCCCCCCCAAACCACCAGATCTGCTTCCAGCCCAGCCCCCACAGCCATCATTGTGGAGAAGGGGCCCGCCTTCCTCATCACCACCAGCAACAAATGCTGACCAACGGCCACCAACAGGTGGATAGGCACAGGGCCCTGGGAGTAGCAGCACCTCCCAGACCACCGGTCCTGCCATCATCTGGGGAAGCAACTCCCGTGGAGAAGGGGCCGGCCAGCCCCACCAACTGTCACACACAGGGCAGGCAAGCCAGCCTAGATGAAGCAGTCAGGCACCCTGAGGGAAAAACAGGAGGCAGCATGTGCCAGACAAGTGAAACCACCAACATCACCACCTTGACCAGCATCTCCCCTCCGATCCCAATGGTCAGAGCCCAGGACCCTGGACCTGAGGGCCTTGGGAATAGCATTTCTTCCAGCCCAGTGCTCTTGGCTATCAACTCCTGTGCAGGGGCACCCTGGCCATTGCTCCATAGTTACTGAACACCTAGAAAAGAAAGTTCTTGCACCAAAGTCCTTGGCCCTGTCCAATGGTTCAACATCAGAAACTGATATGATTTGAACAGTGGAAATACTACTAAAGAGAAGGCCTGACCATCTGCTTTGCCACTGTACCCTGGGACCTTTCCATCCCACTTGTAGAAGAAACCTTCCAAATGGGGTGTTCCCCCTTCCCCCTGTTAGAATGTGAGCTCCCTAAGAGCATGGATTGTCTGACTTTTCTATCTGTACCCCCCAGGGCTTGGTTTAGTGTTTTGTACATGATAAATACTTCATTTATTCATTCATCCACACAGTTTTTAAAGTCAAGCCTACCTAATGCAAAGTCTTGGGTTCTTATATGTATTTGCTTAATAAACTCTTCTTTACCTAGTTCTTCTATGCAACTTCTTCCTTGATGACAAAAATCCTTGAGCAGGAGTGAAATTAGGATCCTCTACTAGAAACTGATTGCTGCCCTGGCAGATTGAGAGTTTAACCCCAGTAAGTAAGGGTTACTTATTACAATGCGTCAATAAATGTGGATTGTGTGATGAAATGTTAAATAAGTTTAGAAAGCTAACAGGAGACCATTCTACTTGAGCAAAAGCCCGAGTAGTCAGGATTTGCATTCAAGGCCCCTGTGTTAGACACTAAGGTAATCCCTGTCTCATGCTAGCACTTGTCCCCTGAACATTACCCTGATTTGTACAGAACTCCTAGGAAGACATCTGTGAGCAGTGACAGGCCCAAGTTTTGTGACTTTAAGCCAACACCCCAGAAGCTGTGTTGTTACTGCTATTCATTTGCCTACTTGGAAAGTGGACTAGGAGCTAGAAAGATATTAAAGAGGTTTTTCATAAGGGAACAGGGAGTGAATATGGGTCTCTACCTACGTGACCACACGTGAGTGTACTTACACATTTTCATGTTCACAATACAGGACAAAAACCATTCGTTTGGGAGCAAGAGAAAGCACGAGCGCTTGTCAGTCTGCAGCACAGCAGGCTATAATCAATGTGATTAAAAACCTGTTATACATATTTAGGAGAATCTTTGCCAGAATACAATTGGTTAAATAGAACTGCAATAGAGGGGGCAGCTAGGTGGCACAGTGGATAGAGCTCAGGCCCTGAAGTCAGGAGGACCTGAGTTCAAATCCGGCCTCAGACCAAACACTTGACACTTACTAGCTGTGTGACCCTGGGCAAGTCACTTAACCCCAATTGCCTTAAAAAAAAAACTGCAATAGAAAAAACCATTGTGCACGCTTAATGCAGAATGTTCATCTCTCCAGCTGATTCTAAAGTAACTGGTTGCCTTATTTTGATATTTCTCTTTCAGACTGCAATTTCATGAACAAACCAAAAAAAACTTACTGGATAGTAGTCCAGCCCACCAGAGCCACTCCTTTAGGTATGCATGGCCACCATGACCTAAAAGAAGGAAGAGAAGTTACATACCTACCAGGCCTTAAGGACTGCAATCAAGAAGAGCAATAGTACAACTGGGATGTTTTCCTGTACATGAAAGGACAATTTTCTCATTCCTCCTGACCTGCTATAACTTGGAGGGTCTTTGGATTCCTCCTGCCAACTTCCTAAAGATTGTTCTTTTTCATTCCCCTTTTTTGCCAAAAGACAGAGCATTTTGACCAGAACTTGTGAATGTTCAATGCAGAAGATTCATCACAGCATCTAGTACCCATGGCAGTCCCTTTCAATACATCCAGGGAAGGGAAACTCTGCTCCAGGCAGCGGGCCTTTGGGTTTGGGCACAGCGCATACCAAAGGGCAAGAGCTGAGGTAAATAAATCCTAATGCTGGTCTATACTGTGTAACTTCTGACTGCAAACTAAGAATAAAAGAATTTGAATGCAACAAGCTTTTAAAAATCTGAACCTGACAACTATACTCCTTAAATCACTTACCCTTACAGATTTATTGAATAACTGCTGTCTTCAGCACAGCGCCTTCAAAATCCTGGGTCTTCTTCCACCCAGAAAGTACATTCAATTTTCAACTGTTATCCCTCCCCTCTGTTATCATGGATAATGAGAAATCAAATTCAGAGACAACCCTAAAAACTACCCTTGAACTCATTTCAACCTTTTCTAAGAGCCAATTAACAAGTATGCTAATAACAATACCTACATATTCCCATTTAGCCTCCTTTCCATCTTAACACCACCTATCTTTTCAGCTCAAAGGCGAAAAGCAAGAGGAAAGAAACATTCTGACAAATCAACCCAGGAATAAAGAGTTGGCTATACCTGCTCTCACAGAGCCTCTGCTGGCAATCTTAAGAAGTCCCTTCTTCTTCAGGATGAAGCTTGCACCAATGAAAATGCTGGAGCTGAGAGCCAAGCTCAGACCAATATAGAAGTTATTTTGGCCAGCCATCATCTCTGGCCAGCACTGGTCCTGTTGGGATTTTGAAAAAGCAGATTTGAGGACACTTGCCCTTTGACAAAGTTCAATGGATTCAATGTGGATTCATGAAGATCAGATGGCAAAGATTCCTTTTGAGGACAGCACTAAGTGGGCAAACCGGCTGGCTAGAGAAGGTCTTGGCGACTTATTGAGACAATTGATCAAAGTGAATAATTTTATTTTTCAGTATTTTGAGGAATTTTATTTTTCACTGAGACCATTGACTTTTTACAAAGACAATTAAACTGCTTCAACTTTAATCCTAGCTCTTGTGCATATCACCTCATTAGTTCATCCCCAGCAAATGGACAGGGGGTTGGCTTTTTCCTTGAAGCTGCTTAAATGTTTTAGGTTTAGATGTGTTTTTGAAGTTGATTTTTTTTTAAATGAGGCAGTTGGGGTTAAGTGACCTGCCCAGAGTCACACAGCTAGTGAAGTGTTATGTATCTGAGGCTGCATTTGAACTCAGGTCCTCCTGACTCCAGGGCCAGCACTGTGCCACCTAGCTGCACCGAAGTTGATTTTTAAAAGGCAGGCAAACTATCACATCGCCTTCCTCCTCCTCATCCATGAACATTTGTCAAGTAAGGCACTGACTAGGCAATTTAAATATAGAAATGGTGCCATACGTGTGCTGTCTGCTTGCTACCATGAAACAGACTGAGATTTTGGAGGGGAAAAAAAAAGGCCAAAGGACCCTGTTTAAGGGACAGCAGGAGTACTGAATCAAAGAATACTGAAGAGATGCTACTCGTGTCTGATGTGCATGTATGTCTGTGCATGTACATAGATAGCAATCTATATATTAGTCCTGCTTTTGGACTCAGCTTCTAGTCATTTAGAGTAACTCTCCAGTGATATGGTTCAATACTCTATAATTCCCCAGTTTACAGGACAAATCCAGCATTCAGTGTTCCTAAAAATGGCTGTCTTGCAATGGTTCCAATCTTCCAATTTCAAATTATTGCTTCTGATCTCTATTGCCAATCCAATTCAATCTGTCCTAATCCCTAATCCCCTTCTTCTCTCAATTTCTTTACTCTTAGTCTCACCCCTACGTTCAGATTTATAGATTCTTTCACCCATTTTCTCACCTATATTAATTCAGCCCATTCCTCAAGCTCCAATTTAGCTGTAAATAATTTATTTCACTGATTTTCTACTGCATGAAGCCTCTTTATCATCCACTTAATACCACAGGCTTGTACAACACATTTTGTTGGTGAAAATACAGGCAATTTTTGAAAAAAGGTACACATTTATTGAATACAAAATCATAGACTTTTTCCCACCAGACTAAAAATATCCCAAATATAACTATTGTTAATTTTTAAAACTGAAAAACTAAATTTTAGTTGCAAAATTATAAAGAATAGGCATGACTCCAAAGAAAAAAATATGAGAAGATACCCTACTCCTTTGCAGAGGTGGGAAGTCCACAAATGTTATACATAGCCTATATTTTCAAGCTTTTTTTGATGTATTGATCAGTTATGCTGATTATTTCCTCTTTTTCTTTGTTTTTGTCTTAAAAATACTATTTATTATACGGGATGGTTCTCTGGGAGGGGGAAGGATACTGAGGTAAGTTATGGTGATATAAAAAACAAAAGACCGCAATAAAAACTTAATTAAAACAAAAAACATTCCACTGATAAAACTTTACTCTAAAAATACAAATTTAAAAAATGAAACACAAAAAACCCCCGACATTTTCTTTAGCCATATTATCCACTCCTGTATTTAGCACAGTTCCGTTATTTCCCGCCGTCATGTTTTAGTTTCCCAACTAGACTGCGGGGATTGCTCTCATCTCTGCACCCCAAAACCAGCGCTTAGAACATCAAATCCAACCCACAGCCCGTTTGGTAAGAAGTCAGGGAAAACATTCTGTTTTGAGGATGGGAGGGTGCCTGCTCTGAGAGGTGTGAAACTGAGTCCTGGGAGAAGACTCGTAGAGTCTTTTATGAAGGGGATTTGTTCTGTGAAGTTTGGATTGAGTCACAGGCCCACACTTGAGGACCTAGAGGGCCACCCGTAGCCTCGAGGCTGCAGGTTCCCCACTCCTGCTAGCATCTTCCCACTTTTTTTTTTAGGCCACGTGATCAGAGGGGAAATCCTTTGAGGCTGAGGGTCTTCTTTGGGGGAGATGAAGGATTGTGCTTCCACCCCGCCCAATTCTGACCCTCTCAGGTGAGGCTGCTGGAGCATTAAGGCAGGACCCAGTGGGAGGAGGGGCAGTGCATGATTTTTCTTTTCTTGGAAAAAAAATGCTTTTAATCTTTATTTTCTAAGACATCCCTTCCCCAAAATCACCCCTGGTAACAGAATTTTCAAGCATGACGGGGAGGATACAAAATTTAAAAAATTTTAATGAAGAGGGGGAAAACTGTTGGGGATGCTTAAAGTGAACAGCTCACTTCCGGCCTCGCTGTGCTGTCCACATCTGGCATCCCCCTATCTCCCCCCACCGCCGCCCCCCACCCCCGCCGCCACCCCTACCTTTCTCCCAAAGCCGAGCGCGTGCTCCCCAGGCCCCGACCTCGCCTCGCCCACACGAGGAGGGAGGGAGGGAGGGAAGGGAGAGAGGCAGGAAGGAAGGAGGGAGGGAGGCAGGCCCGCGAACCGCCCTCCCGCAGCACCTGCGAAAATCCCGCCTTCCCGCGGCCTCCCCGCCCCCACCCCACTTCCGCTGCCTCGCTCTGGCGGCCCTGAACCCGGAACCCCGCCCAGAGTGCGCGACGCAAGGGGGCGGGGCCTCCAAGCGCTTCCGGTGCCCGCCCAGATCCTCAGGCGCTGCGCCTCCCGCCGTCGTCAAGTCGTCGTCGTCTGGAGGTCGTTGTCGTCGGACGGGGCGGCGGCGGTCGTCTTAGTCGATTTGGGGTCGGTGAGTGGGCCAGGGCCCTTGAGGAGAGGGCGGGCTCCGACCCGTCGGCTGCGGGAGTTGGAGCCGTGACTCTTCTGTGGGGAGAAACGGGGGAGGGGGCGGGAGGGGGGGCGGGGCTGGGAGCTGTGAAGAAAATCAGAGCCCCCAGGAGCAGGAGGAGCCCCCGGAGGCCGTCCTCTGCAATCCCCTCTCTTTACACTTGGAGAAACTGAGGCGAAAGGGAAGGGACTGCCCCCAAATAGGGAGGCAGTGTGGTTCAGTGGAAAGCGTTGAACTTGGCGTTTCAGGACCTGGGTTCGATTTCCGCCTCAGCCCCTTAATAACTTGCGTCACCGTAGGCTGGTCACTTAACTGTCTGGGGTGGGGCCTCAGTACCTTCCTCTGAAAAATGAGGAGGTAGGAAGTAACCCAGAGCTGCTAAGCCTTTTTTTTTTTTTTGCACCATTGACCCCCTTGGGCTGTCTGGTGAAGCGAATGGATCCCTTCTCAGAATCATGTCATTGAGTGCCAAAATTACAGTAGGAAACCAATTATGTGAAAATACCGATATTAAAATAATTTTAAGACGAATTCCCAGACCCCGGACTAGATGGACTCTAAGAATAATAAAAGCAGTAAAGGGCAGAGCCAGGATGTGAACCTCTGGCTCTGGAGCTAGCGCTGTTGCCGCTGAATCACATCGAGGTGAGGATTGGGGGAAGTCATGGGTGAGAGCCTGTTGCTTAAGGTTCAGTATTACTAGAACCAACCCTTTTTTAGTCCGGACAGGAAAAGATGGTGAGAAATAAAGCTCCCCAGAGAATTCTGTAACCACCTTTCATCATCTGGTTCCTCACCTTTTACCACCGTCCTTAGGGAATTTAGAGGTCTAGTGCCTTATTTTACAAATTAGTAAACTAAGACTTAGAGAGGTTAAAGTAACTTCCCCAGCTCACACAAGTAGTGGCAGAGCTAGGAATAAAACACAGGGCTGCTGGGCCTGACAAACTACACCTCTTTCCATCACACAAGGAGTTCCTAATCTTTTGCAGTCCGGTGCCCTTTGGCTTTCAGGAAACCTTACCGTACTATTTAATATGAAGGCACTAAATTGTAGACTTTACCATGCATATGCACTTAAAAAAACAGATTAATTTAGAAATATAATTTATTAAAATATTCATAGATTTATATCATTTATACATTTAAAACCTTATGGGTATGTTCAGTAAGAATGGGATATACTTTTCCAAGGGTACTCCAAAAAGTTTGTAGCTTCAGTGATTGGAAGGCAGTTTTTTTAAAAAATCCAATCAAAATATTCCCCATGATCCTTTGACAAGCTTCTCTTGCCCACTCCCCTGCAGGTATGGGTATCCTTCTGTTGGAAAACCCCTGCTAAACCATTTTGCCCCCGGAGGAGAACCAGAAATAAATCTGAGTTACCTGGTCCCAAAGTATTTAAAAGTAGCTCTACTGGGAAGTCTTCAGTTTAAATTGCTGTGGCTGAAGTTTGTATAGCAGTAGAAGGTTGGGGTGGTATTAAGGGATGGTTGATATAATCCTCAGACTCTGGCTTTTATTTTATTTGCTTTATTTTAATGGACCTTCCCCCTTACATTTATATTTAGTTTTTGAATGATACGAGCATGTATAAATATTTGTATGAAGCAAGAAGAGAAGAAATGGCTATCACACGTAATACATTTGTGGTTTTTTCCCCCGTCTCTCTCATGCTGGGTGTCTCTGGGGTTCTGTGGTGAAAAAGGATACTATGAAATGCTAAATTCTCTTTGCATTCTGTGCCTTTCCAAAAATTTCTTAAGTCACCTTTAGAGTTGAACATGGAATAATAGCTGGGTGGCAGAGTGGATAAAGTGCCAGTGCCAGACTTGGTAGTTAGGAAGACCTAACTACCCTGGGTTAAGTCACAGTAACCTCTCTCATCCTCAGCTTAATCATTGTAAAATGGGAATAATAACAGCATCTACATCACAGAGTTGTTGTGAGGATCAAATGAGATAATATGGTGATTGTTCTGCAAACCTTAAATACTGTATAAATGCTACCTGCAATTATTATCATAACTTTCAGTTACATACCACTATAACCACAGACCTACATACATATGGCTTCTTTAGCTCCATATGTGTTAAGAGACCTAGAGATATCTGGGGTTTGTGAGTTAATAATAATGCTATTCTCACGTGTGTGTGTGTTTGTTTACATATACACACATGTGCCAGCTTTAAAGTTTTGTAATATGCTGATATGTAGTTTGTCATTTGAACCCCACAGCCCCAAGCCTTGGGAGGTTGATACTACAAGTGTTAGCCCCTTTTTACAGATGATGAAACTAGGGAATGGATTGAAGGACTTGACCCTGTTTATAGGGCTGGTAAGCATCAGATCTAGATTTCTTTGATGCCAGGGCCAGTACTTTATCCACTGTGGTGCACTGCCTTTCTTACCTCATCATCTTGTTCTGTAATCTAAGGTGAAGGGTTTTTTGGCTTGTTTTATGGCACAGCACAAAATCTTTTTACTTTTATCTTGATGACATCTAACTATGAACCTAATTGTCAGGTCAAAAATATATCCATTGCATTCTCACCACCTCTCTCTCTCTCTCTCTCTCTCTCTCTCTCAACTGAAGAACTTGGGGACGCCGGCATCCAGGAAGCTGTTTATGAAAGCTAAGCTGCTCCAGGTATAAATAATACCCCTACTTAAATCCAATAAGTAAATGTTAGAAATAACAAAAAAGAGTAGGAAGGTGATTATTCACCTTACAGAAAGAGTTTTTGCTATCGAAAGGATTTGCTATAGAATTCCTTGTAGAAAGTTTCTCAAATTCATTTCAGATGTGCTTTGATTTGCTGAAGTTGAAATTATTATAAGCATATCACAGGAAGCTCAACCCATCTTTCTTCTTTTAAGGAGTATCGATGTGTAATAAGTTATTATCAGCTTAGAAGGCAGAGAGACTGATGTTACTTCGTCACAAGAACTGACTCACAATCTTCATCTCTACAAGATGAAATAGACTTGGTAGACATAGACTAGTTGTAGAGTTACAGGCACAAGAAACTACCCCTCCTCCAAATAAATGCTTACCTCGTTTTAACCCAAAGAAGTGAACAGATAATGGGAAATTTAGCTATATTTTCCTCAAAACATCATAGACCACTAACTACTCCAAAGGGTTTTGGAGGACTTCAGTCCTCAGTTTATTTCCCTTTTTGCTTGTGATTCTTGCAGAAGACATGTAGTTTTCTTAGAGAGATAGAGTCATCTCTTGTGTTGTTGGACTGTTCTTTGCACTAGAATACAGAATGTCATTGTTCATAGCTTTTACTTAATGAAATATATATGGTTGCTTTCAAGAGAAATTGTGTAACTTAAATTGTCCTTGAAAGTGTAAATAGTTTTCAATTAGAGAGGAGTTGTTCACTTGTTTCAATTGTATCCAACTCTTTGACCCCATTTGAGGTTTTCTTGGCAAAGGTACTAGAGTGGTTTGCCATTTCATTCTCCAGCTCATTTGACAGATGCGGAAACTGAGACAAACGGGGTTCAGTAGCTTGCCAGGGTCACACAGCTAAGAAGTGTCTGAGGCCAGATTTGAACTAGGGAAGATGAGTCTTCCTGACTCCAGGCCCGGCACTCTCTCCACTACGTCACCTAGCTGCTCTGCTTAGAGAGGAGAGGTGGAGATGAAGTGAAGTGGTTCTGAGCTGTATACATTTCATGCTGGCATTGGTACTCGTTAGAGTGCTTATAAAACAACTTATATTTGAACATACCATCTTTAGTGAACAATTGAAGGAAATGAAAAGGGTTTTCACTGACTATTTGTGATTTTGTTTTTCCCCTCTCTGAACTCAAGAACAAAAAATGAGCAAGAATAAAGAGGATCCTCCCCATGAGCTGGAGAACCAATTTATATTACGTCTACCCCTGGTAAGGAAGCCCAGGAGATTAGAACAAATGACTGGAGGCTGAGTTTGAGCGGCTTTTACTCACACTGTGTCAATTTAGACAAACTCTCACACATAAGGATTCTGTTTGGTTGTCAGTTGATAAGTATAAAACCATTATTTAAGAGGATATTGGTCATTAAGGACCGAAATATAGTCATATTTCACTGTGTGTCCACTTCATTGAGGTTGTCTTTTCCTTTGTTCATGACTATTTACTTTTTTTTATGACAATTTACTTTTGAGAGTTATTTTTTCAAATAATATTAACCTTCATCAACTCCATAAGGTCTTTGTGTCTTCACTGCCTATCATGGTACCTGGTACATTATAGGAAATAAATCTCGATTGAATTGAATCATAAGTTTAGAGCTAAAAGTATTCTCTAGTACTAAAGACCTTCTAGTTCAACTCTACCATTTTACAGATGAGTGAACTGAGGTCCAGAGAATCAAAGTGAGTTGCTCAAGATTACACAATTATTAAATGGTTGGTACTATGATTCAAACCCAGGTCCTCTGACTCTAAATCCTGCATTCTTTCTGTGTCACCCTGTCATGCTATATTGGTAGTCCCTGTTTTAGTTAGACACCAAGCTTGTTTTGTTTTAGAATGCTCATATGGCTATGAAGAGGTTGAGAGTTGAATTATGCTCCTCCATGAACATTAAAGTATGTTGTGCTGTTGAAGCCTGGATGTCCTCTGGGATTGGAAAGAACAGGCCTTTTAAATACTGTTTTAGAGCCTCTTTACCCCTTGATATCTGGATTTGAACTTTGAAATGGACCAAAAAAGGGCATTTAATGGGAAATGGCACATATTACAACCTTTGGGTGTGAATTGCCCTTCAGTGGAATAAACAAAGTCTTCTCCCAGATAGGGGTCAATTTGTATACCTAGAATATTTGCAGATCAGACCCTCGCCTAACTTTTAGCAGTTAATTGAGAGTCTGTTGGGAAGGCCTAGAACCTAGGGGAGGGAGGATTCCCTTATTTGGAGCTCCAGGAATAAGAGTCAACCTGTGTGCTGGGTTGACTTAGATATCCTGATAAATGGTAAAAATGGCTCCATGGAATGCCAAGTAGTTGCTGTCTCTGTGTGTCTATCCAGAAACTGGTTGAAGGGTGGATTTAAGAACAAAGTTTCCCTGGCCCATCTCTTCTGCCATCTGGTATTATGCATGTGACCAGTCTTATAAATTTTTCTTCTTTTCAGGAATATGCTTCTACTGTGAGAAGGGCAATACAGTCTGGAAGTGTCAGCCTGAAAGACAAATTAACCATCGAATTGCATCGTAAGTAGTCCATATCTTCTTTATGGTCCCTTCTCTCCCTGTTATAAGTGAATGGGCAATGTCTTTCTTATTTTTTTAAACTCTATTTTATTTTCAGGTTAGCATTTTTCCCTTCTCCTCCTACACCACCATTGGGAAAGCAAGAAAAAACAAAATGTTACAAACATTTAAGTCAGACAAAGCAAATTCCGACATTGGCCTTGGATAGAACTTCACTCTGTACTCTTAAGTTTATCATCATCTATCTCTCTGTCTCTGGAGTTGGGCAGTATGTTGGAACTGCACTTGGTCATTGTGTTGATCAGAATTCTTAAGTCCTTCAAAGTTGTTGTGTTTATAGTATTGCTCTTGCTATGTTCCTTCATTGTTCTCCTGGATCCACTCATTTCACTCATATAAGTTTTCCCAGGTTTCTCTGAAACCATCCAAAGAGCAACACAGTTAGAAACTATGGGCATGTACCTATGTACACTGTACCTATGTAAGCGCCTGGAGATTGGCTTCCAGAGATCAGACATAGTGCTCACTGGCTCCTCTTTGATATACTCAGCCTTACTGGTTCGTCACCATCCAAGGGGATAACAAATGCTGGCTTTTGTTTATAAAGATAACATTTCAGTCTCCCCATTGGGAGGAAGCATGCTTTCCATAATGTGTGATGTTTCACTGAGCTGTTCACACAGTCTGGACAAAAGTTTCCCTTACGATTTGCATGCTTTTGTGAAATAACGGTTCTGGACTATGGGTGAGTTTTCTCCATGACAGAACTGGAGATCAAACCCACAACTGTGGGCTCTAACACCATTCTGGAAGCACATCTTTTTTTCCTTCCTACAAAGTACACATCTGCAGTGGCCTCCCCTGCAGTGGTAAATATTCTAATTTCAAAAAACTCTCTGATAGTCTGTATCTAGAACATGAATGTTTCTGAAGTGGAATAGCCTGCTTAGAATAACACAATAGCACAGCATTTACATTAATATGAAATTTCCTGCAGAAAACCACAGCTTCACCAAGCTGTTCAGTCCTCAAACATTAATGAGGAAATTCACAAGTCCTAGAAGAGTTGGGACTTGTGAACACCTTGCCACCTGGCATTTTCCCTCTGGACGTTACATATAACACAGCTGTTCAGCTTTACTGTTAAAAGAGATGGTAGATTTCCCGATAAAATACAATGCATGTACCTTGTTAATATGCAGGTCCTCGTTATTGTGGCCCTAGGAGGCTTGCCGTTCATTGAAAAGAGATCAGAATTAAGCTTTTGTGTATTATTCCTTAGCTGATGGACGTCATGGCATTGTCCGTGTGGATCGTGTCCCATTAGCCTCTAAGCTGGTTGACCTGCCCTGCATTATTGGAAGCTTGAAAACCATTGATAAGAAAACCTTTTACAAGACTGCAGATATTTGCCAGGTATGGGTAGACTGGTCTTTTCCTAATATCCAGTAGTTTTCACATCTTCCAGGTATTCCATTGTGTTTGGGGGATGACTACTTACTATCCCTGACTTCTAGGCTAAAGACACAAGGATGAAATTTCATGCTTCATTTTAGTGTTTTGAGACTTAACTGTTCCTTACCATTACCTCTTGTCATGTAACCAGCATGTGGAGTGTTGAACCTCCTGTTTGTCATTTGTAGTGATTCATTAATTGAAAAATAGCAGCTGGGATCTTCTCTGGCTCCTTCTGCTGAAGCAACCTGCAGTTGACCATAGAGGTATAGACTGGTTCTCATTCATCATCTCTGCTGTTGATTTCTTGTTTTCTTTGTAAATCAAAATGCTGGGATCTGTTTTCCAACATACTTCCTCCTCTGCAGTGGTAAGTACTCTAGCTCCAAAAAGCCTTTGGTTAGATTCTACATTTGTAGTACTGCTTCGTGGGCAAAGTGACTCCAGTAAAATGCCAAGTGCATTGCCCTCTGACCTTTTATGAAGTTTCACTGATGCCTTTTGTTTATATCCAAGTCATTTCTGGATACATGCTCCCAACCCCCACACCCTCTGGTGAGCTTTTCCTTGGAACAGAAAAACAGTTAAGCTCAATTGCCATGGCCACATCTGCCAGCATGTACAACGTTCCACTCCAGCTGTCCCCGGGTCCCCCACCCTGTTGGAAGGGGGACTTGACGTTTCATCTCTTCTTGGGGGCCAGAATTTGTCATTATAACCACACAAGGTTAGCTTCGTTTTGTTGGTTTTCTTTGTTTACATTATTGTAGTGTTAGTGTTTATTGTTTTCCTGGTTCTGCTTATTTCATTCTGCTTCAGTTCATAAGTCTCTCTGAAATCTTTATCATTTCTTATAGTACAGTAATATTTCTTTACATTCAGATACCGCAGTTTGTCCAGCTATTCCCCAGCCAGTGGGCACTCACTTTGTTTCTAGCACTTAGCACCACACCTGGCACATAGATGTTTAATAAATGCTTGTTATACCATTCTTTGCTATTTCAGAAAATTCTGCTATGAATTATTTTGGCATCTATTACACCTTTGTTTCTTGTTTTTTTTACACCCTTGGGGTTGTGACCACTAGAGGGTTTCTAGGTCAAAGGGTATATCATCATTGTTCTTCTATAATTCTCAGTTGATATCTACAATGGTTGAACCAATTCACAGATCCACCAAGGGTGTTTATTAGTGTGCCTTTCTTACTGCAGTCTCTCTAGCATTGATTATTTAGGTCTTTTGGCATCTTTTCATTTCATTAGGTACAAAGTAAAACTTCAGAGTTGTTTCATTTTCATTTCTCTTATTCCCTTGCTCCAAATCATCTCAGCAACATCCTCCACTCACTCCTCCTTTGCTCTAGTCTTGGAGGGAGATGCAATGTCTGCTGTCTGCTGATTCCTTCCTTATTGCTTGCAAACATTCCTGGATCTCCCCATATCTTAAAAACTGTCACTTGACCTACTGTTCCCTCAAGCTTTCATCTTTTTCAGATTCGTAGAAAAAGCCATTTGCACTTATTGCCTCCACTTTCTTACTGCCATCTCATCTCCTTGCAAACCTGGCTTCTAATCTCATCAGTCAACTGAAACTTCTCTCCAAGGTTACCGTGCTCTGTTAATTGCCAAAGCTGATTGCTTTTTCTCCTTTTTGACCTCCCTGCAGCATTTGATGTTATTGGGACACGCTGTCTTCCCACACACACTTTCCTCCCTCAGTTTTCATGACACTGCTTTCTCCTGGCTCTTCTCCTGTCCATTCCTTCTCAGTTTCCTTTGTTTTGAGCCGTGTCCTTGTCTCACCCCTTATGTGGGTGGTAGTCCTAGGGGCTTTCTCCTGGACCTTCTTCTCTCTGTACAATACCCTTTCTCTGACTCTGTCGGCTCCTGACATTAGCTGGAGTGTTCCAGATGATATCTGGAAAGTGCTTTGCAGACCTTAAATACTAGCTATTATTAGACTATTATTGTTAGTCCACACCCGTAGTCCCCTTCTCCTCTCTGCAAAGAAGAGAGAGAGGGAGATGTGCTTTCTCATATCTCTTTCGGACCAAGCTTGGACATTTCAGGTTTATAGCGTTGTTTCACAAATTGAGATTCCTAAAGCACGTTGTTATTCCTCAAGAAATTTTAGTGGCTCCCTCTTGCTTCTAGGATAAAGTATAAAGCTGGCTTTTGAAACCCTTCACAGTCTGCCTCCAGGCTACCCTTCCAAGCTTATTTAATTTTCTTTTCCTTCACATGCTTTGCATCCCAGATAGAATGTGCTCCCTTCCCACTTCTACCATACAGAATCCATAGCTCCCTTCAAAACTCAATTAGAACCACTCACTGCAGCCATTTGAAAAATGGCAGCCTTGTGTGAATTGAAGAAGTTTTAAAATGAGGGGGCTTAATTAGTTTCTCCCATTCATTTCAATTCCTACATGGGCCTCAAAGGCTTATTCCAAATGGATGATTTTGTGACAACTCAACATCCAAGCTGGGGAAAGGAAAGGAGAAACCCCACACACTAGACTTAGATGTCCTGCTTCTGTTTACTAGAGATTGGGGTGGGGTGTTATCCATCAACTCTTCATCCAGTTTGGAGGAGGAGGAAGGCAACTCCCACGATGGCTTTCTAGTTTTCCTTTTTTGTATAGGAGAAGATCTCTCTTTGGACACGTATTAGAGTTGCTTCCTCCTTTTGGGGGGGTTCTAGGATGGTGATTGACAGGGAGTGAGGTGTTACCTACTATCTCCGTTTCCAGGTCTGTGTTTGGCATCTTTGTTTGATGAAGTAACAATGTAGAATCCGAATGTTCCCTTGTTTACTTGAGTTCAGCTAATAAGAGAGGTGGAGAGTTTTATCTGTGATCCTAAGTACTGTGGGTCTCTATGGATCCGGGTGGATATTTACCTCTGAAGCCATAAGGGAAGACTGGGAGATCTTCTCTGCAGGTTTTGTCGGTGAAAGAAGAGAGATCAGAAAGCAACTAAAGCTACATTGGGATACTGGAAAATAGCCAATTAATTTGGGTGTGAGTGTTCCCAAGGGGTTCTGGCCAGTGTTGGGAGGATGGCTTTGGGTCTTTCCCTCAAGGGAGAGCCAAAGACCTCTGCTGGGAATGCTTGTCATTTTCTCCCTTGGGATTCTGCTGGTGAATGTTAACCCATATTCTGTAGAGGAGTGGCAAATAAGCTTCTAATACACAAAGGTTGTACCATGGGGGGAAAAATAAGCTTCTAATACACGAAGGTCGTACCATGGGGGGAAAAAGACCCCAGTTATTAATAGAGCTACGTAAAAATGTGTGCATACCGGTATGTTTGTTTTATGGCAAGCAATAGCAATTCATTTACCTTCCTCAGAGGCAAGAGGGCAGAGTTAGAAAATGTTGAAAAACGTGTTCTAATGCACGTCATGAAAAGGTCATAGGAAGCACTCACGAGACACTAAGAAATGAATCACTGTGGTTATAGTTGAAGGGGCCCCCCCCCCAGCAAAAGCAGAACTCAAGTGCCATCTGCTGTAGGAAATCTGTCTGTCCTCTGCCAGTTGTTAATGTCCTCCGCTTAGAAATTGTTTTGAATATATTTTGTATTTAGTTTTCTTTTTACATGTTGCTTCCTTCCAAAAGAATATAAGTTCCTTTAGGTCAGGGATGGTTTAGTTTTTGTCTTTTGTGTCTGTTGTTTAGCACCGTTCCTAGCACCGTAGTAGTCACTTAATAAATGTTCATTGAATTGAATTATTAATGATTTGGAGCAATCTTCCATATGGTTGTTAATATTTTGCCATTTTTTTGGTAAATGTTTGTTTATATCCTTTGATCACTATTTGAGCGATCACTTTGATCACTCTTTGTCTATGTTAATTCCATAACTTGGACATCAGATTTTTATCAGTGATATTTGATTCCATTGGTTTTTCCTAATTGACCATTTCTCTTCTTATGCTAGTTGTATTGATTTTGTTCATGAAAAAGCTTTCAGAATTCAATATAATAGAAATTTTCTATTTCATCTTTTATGATCACCTCTACCTTGCTTGTTTAAGAATTCTTCCCCTAGCTGCAGTTGTGAAAGGTACCTCTTTTCATTTTCCTCTTAAGTTTTTTTTTATGTAACCTTTTACATTGTCTTTTTGGTGTTAAGGGTGGTGGTGCATTATTGAAATCAACACCTAACATCTAAGTCATAGAGCCCCAAAACAGCTTTTCTGATTTTTTGGGGGGGTGCTGTTTATAGATGCTTGTCAGTACTGTGGATGGTGATCTTTATCCACCTCTGGAAGAACCAGCTGCCACTAATGATCCAAAAGTAAATAAGAAAAAAGATAAGGACAGAGAGAAGAAATTCATCTGGAACCATGGCAGTAAGTGAGAAAGCTTTTTCTTGCCCTAGCCTCCTTGTTACACCTACTGAATCCTACTTAGGGATGACTCAGCCATCTGCCCCAAGCCTAAATCCATTTAGGTTCCTAGCCAGAGTTTAAAAAGGGCCTGAGCTTGGACTTAAGACTTTGAATCCCAGCATCTGTCTCTTGTATATGGTAGTCTTCTGCCAAGTGCTGTGATTTCCTAATCAGCTTGTGTAACTTCTTAGGTTCTATAGGATGAATTTTCTTTTCATCCAATCTTTTTGGACTGTTGTTTAACCAACAATTAGGCTGATAAATGTCACTTTGTTTTGTTTTAGTCACTCTGCCACTGAAGAATGTCAGAAAGAGAAGGTTCCGGAAAACAGCCAAGAAGAAGGTAAGTTCTCACTTGATACACACTATTCATTTCTCTGCCAGCTGGCCTGGGGGTGGGGGTGGGGGTGGGTGAAGATGGGAAAAGGTGTCAAGAAGAGGTCTGGCTAGAGTACTTACTTGGAGGTTTAGGTAACACTTTGGACTGTGAGATTTGTAAATGGAAGGCATCACAGCCTGGTCTCACAGTCAGCCCTGGACTGAGCATGTCATCCGTACACAGATTTGTATCCTGTTCCCAACTGCCTCATCCTTGTAATTTTTTTTTTTTTTTGCTTTTTGGTGAGGCAGTCGGGGTTAAGTGACTTGCCCAGGGTCACACAGCTAGTAAGTGTCATGTATCTGAGACTGGATTTGAACTCATGTCCTCCTGACTTCAAGGCCAGAGCTCTATCCACTGCGCCACCTAACTGCCCCATCATCCTTGTAAATTCTTAAGGAGGCCACTGATAAGCTGTTGAAGAATGAAAGGATAATTTGTTAATCCTTTCCCCCCCCAAAAAAAAAAGTAATTGTACTGGCTTCACCAAATCGGAGTCAGAAGCTATATAATATTGTGTGTTCATTGTTTTAGCATGAGTTCGTAGTTCATTTGAATTGAATAAGCTGGGAATAGGAGAACTGCTTCTATAAGTGTTCCTCCCAATTTATCTCATTGAAAAATGACTTCACCATTTTAGGTCTTTCAGATAACTCCTAAGGGAACGTGTTCTATTTGTCAGTGATCTTTGTAATCTGTTTCTCCCTGTCTCTTAGCTATTTATTGCAAAGGCAATATTGGATTGTTACAAGTATGTAAAGGCAATATCAGGAAATCAGGTCTCTGGATTGCTTGCTATTACTGAGTCTTCCTTTTGAGGTCCTGATTTCAATTTGTGGCTTGACACCTTGGTTATTCTGGAGATAATTGCTTGAGATAAGATTCAAGTGGGACCGTGCAGATAAGACTTGCTTTTTATAAGTGTTTCTAATAACCGAGATGGGCAGCTAAGGGACACAGTGGATAGAGTGCCAGTCCTGCAGTTAGGAAGACTCCTTATCCTGAGTTCAAATCCTATCATAGACACTTCGTAGATGTATGACCCTGGGCAAGTCACTTCACCCTGTTTGCCTCGGTTCCTCCTCTGTAAAATGAGCTGGAGAAGGAAATGGTCAACCACTCTAGGATCTTTGCCAGGAAGACTCCAAATGGGGTCACAGAGTTGGACATGACTAAGATGACGACAAAAAGTAACAAAGACGCAAGGAAAAGAAATCTGGAAATGTGAACTTTGAAGCCAGTCCATTTCTCAGTAGCTAATAAGGGATGCAGGCTGTTATTGCCAAGTCAGCGCAAATAGTTAAGAATAGCTAGAATTTAAAGGGAGGTTCCTTAGAGTGAAAACTCTGCCATAAAGTCTTAAGATGGAAAAAAACAAAGAAAGCTCCCATATCCTGTGCAAGCCAGGTGCTGGGAAAAGGCTTTCTTTCTTGCAGCTGAAGAATGCTGGTCGTTCTGGTGACTTTGCCCTCAAGAGCAGGCTCATCCCTGCCAGCCACAGGGCATTTAATGCTGTCACTGTTCTTTTGTCTCCTCTGGCCCAGTACATCGAATCTCCAGATGTGGAAAAGGAAGTCAAGAGACTGCTGAGTACAGATGCTGAAGCTGTCAGTACCCGTATCCTTTTATATCTAAAATCTTGACGCCTGGGAGATCCTCTGGGCCTGTGAACTTGTTTTCTTCATTTACCTTTAGTAAAGGCACTTACTAAGCTGGTATGGTAAGAACTGTTGGTTCAGACTGGGGCACACTCTCCCAGAAACACACATAGTGGCCATGTTTTCTTCATTTAGCTAGCAGAAACCCAGATGATCAGCTTTGTTTGGTGCTTATGTTAATATAAAGCCTCCATTAACCACTATCGGGGCACTTGGCTATACTAAGAATCTAGGCACAATTGGGCTTTGGTCAGACCTAATTAAGTAGTGCTTCAGTTAAAGAGACTCTTTGGAGACCTTGTGCTTCTCTTGCCTTTTCCTTAATTGCACCTGTTCTCAGGGTGGGAGGTCATTGCTGAAGATGAAACAAAGGACACAGATAACCATGGTTCCCTGACCAGCCTGGACATTTCTCCAGGAATGAGTAGCCATAAGCAGGGCCGTAGCTCCTCAGGTATTGCATTCCCTTAGGCAGAACTTTTGCTGGAGAGAGGTTTCTGACTATTTGTTGAATAAGCAGCTTTCATAAACCTGCAGGCTCTCATTTGCAAAGGATTCCTAGGCCTCCCTTCAACCTTTCTTGGTGACTGGCTCTTTGGTTTGGGATTAGTATTCTCATTTCTCTCCCATTCTTAATTACATAACGTATGGAGAGGACTTTTCAGTGTTTCCTGGTCCTAAGTTGTTTGTGAGGAGCACACTCATCCACCCAGCATAGTAATGGGAGGTATTTGAAATACTGCATTTATTTGCTGTTTCCTCTTGTTTGAAACCAACAGAACACGATGAGCTCCGAGAGATATTTAATGACATTAGCAGCAGCAGTGATGATGACGATGATCAAGATCACCATGATGATGAAGATATAAACATCCTTGACACCGAGGAAGACCTGGAGAGGCCACCACAGAGCACACTTGATGAATCTGACCAACGGCGCCAAGAAGATGAGAAAGCAAATCACCTGGGTGAGTCCCCAGAGTCAGGGGCCAGTCTTGAAGGCTGAGCCCCAGTGCCCACATGAGTGCGGGGCAACTTTGAACAGGTGATGATCAGATTGTGGGAAAACCAGCTGGTCGTGATCACTGTCTGTCACTGGTGTCAGAGAGACTGAGGAGAAACTACTTTCTCTTAGTTGTAGGACTCCAGAAGCAGATTGATGTGATGAAGGGAAAGTACCAAGAGACTCTGGAGAGAGCAAAACGCCAGGAGGACCTCATCTTCAAAGTGGAAAATCTGGCCCTCAAGGTGACTTGTGTGATCGCCCCCTCCCATCTTATCCAGTATTTGCTCATCTGTCCCCATGTACTGCCCTCTCCTCCCCTAGAAGTGAAGCTCCTTGTGAAGGCAGGAGCTCTTACTTTTTAGCGTCTGTTTACACAGCACTTTTTTCACAGAGTAGCTCGTAATAATTGTTGAATTGAATCAAAGCCATGCTCTCTGCTTTAGAAAAATTAAACACGTCACAAGTCGTTTCTGGAAGGAAACCCCTCTTCAATAATGGTGCTTTCTTCTCTCCCTTCCCTCTCCTCCCTGCCCTGTCGTCCCCACCCACCACCCCTCAAATATGTATCTCAGGCTCGTTCTTCTTGGTCATTTTTCATTTGCTCAGCTTAGCTTACTTTTAGTGATCATTTTATTTACATTGTTGTCATTGTGTGTGTTCTTTGAGTTCGTTTGGGTACGTTTTTTGGATTTCTCTGAAATCCTCGAATTCACAGGATGTCAGAAATTTGTCATTCCTTACTAAACAGTAATATTCCTTTACATTTCAGAAACCACAATTTGTTCACTCATTCCCCAACTTAGGGCATTTGCTTTGTTTCTAGTTCTTTATTTTTCCCCACTTGATAGCTGCTTCTCTTGTTCTATTTTCATTCTGTACAAAAGCTTTTTAATTTTATGTGGTTGAAAAGGTCTCTTTTGTCTTTACTAATTACCCCTATTCCTTGTATGGTTAAGAATTCTCTCCCAGCCATGATTGTGAAAGGTATCTCCTATTTTTTTGTGACCGATTATTTTCAAGTCATTGATATATACTGTATATATGTTGAATAGGGATTTCTTCCCCTAGTAATTATGTTCTCCTCAGCTTAGTTCCCATCTTTGAGTCTCATCTCTGTGTTTCCTTCCACATCACTTCTAGCCAGCATTAGCTCCATTTCACTCTGAAGTCTGCCCTTGAGGCCCCTATCCACCTTCCATCTTTTTCTTTATAATGGGGACACACCTAAAATCTAAAAAACCATTTTGAGCATCTAATATGACCATTTGGGGAGCAGGAGCCAACTGGCTTAAAATGTGTTTGTGTTAAACAGCATATGTGAATCTAAAAGGCAGGGGTTAGAATGATTTAGCTTTAATTGAAGAATTCTCATTGCCGGTCACTTTCCATTTACCGTTTGCACAGAAGAGGACTGTTGTCTTTTTTAAAAATGCCTCTATGTGCCATTTTCCTCTCTTGGCATCCATTGCATAAACAAGAGAGCCAAGAATTGAATTTTATTTTTTTTAACTATCTTCTGTTGCGTGCTTGAGCAAAGGTGAGTAATTTGCTTTTTATTTGGACATGTTTGGCCAGTTTCAATGAAAGGAAAATTTGTAATTGAAATACCTTTTCTCTGAGTTGGAGGAGGCTTCCAGGCCAGCTCCTACTGAAATGGGGACAGGCTGGAGAGGTCCATGCTGACTTCATCCTTGGTGAGGCCATATCCTTTGGTTGTTCAAAAGGGCAACTGCTTACAGAATGTGACAGATTTGGGATACTGCCCTTAGAAGGAGAAATCTATTGTTTTGAGATCATATATGTGAAAGGACAGAGATAGAGACAGAATGAATTTGTGATTTCATTAGTATAGGGAGCTCCTGAATGAGGATCTTCCTCTACCAGTATTGAATGGCACCTTCTCTGCAGACCAGCGAGCTGCCTAGATCACGAGGAGATTAAGTGACTCCAGTGGGGTCATGCATCCAGTATATAGACGAGAAGCAGGGCTTTCTAGCCACTCTACTATATTAATGTAGAAAATGTTGTGCAGATTAAGTCATTTTTATTATTGCTGTGGCTTTGTAACAGTGGTTCTGAAACTTTTTGGTTTCCTAACTGCTTTACACTCTTAAAAATTATTGAGGTCCCTCTGCCCAAAAGAGCTTTTGTTTATGTGAGTTCTGTCTATTGATTTTGACCTCACAGGTCCCCTAAAAGCTCTTGAGATCCTGCAGGGCTTCCCAGACCACACTTTGAAAAGCACTGCTTAAGAATGTTACTTAAGAATGATAGTATTTGGCCATGAGGAAGGTCCAGGATGAGGCAGCATAGGGATTCCAGTTGAAGTGACCATTTTGTTTCAAGGTTCAAGGTAGCCAAAGGATCACAGTGGTTCTGATGCCCAATCAGAAAAGGGTTAATGGTTTATCTGAAGGCATTCTGTAACCATTCATTTAGAGAGAAAAAGGAATGTTTTGTAGGGTGTTCTGAGTAAAGTGGTGCAGAGCTACAGTGGGGAGTATGGTTTAAAAACGTTAAATGGATGGAAAGAGAGAGCTTTTGTTATGCCCCGGGGTTTCTGCTTGAAGAGCCCTTTGTCTCACTTGGTTATTGTCTCTTCATTGATGAAGCCTAGCATTCATTGCTTCTATGCTTTATTTTCCAGAACCGTCTTCAGGCTGTGCTGGATGAGCTCAAACAGCAGGAGGAACAAGAAAAGCAGCAGGTAAGGAGGTGCTCTGCAGACCAAGAAGGGAAGCCTCCAGCAGAACTGCTCTTGCTCCCCATCCCATTGGAATGGGCAGGAACAACAGGGGCTAAATCCTCCCTGAGTGAGATGGTAGAAAGGGAGGAATGTCAGTGGTGGGCGGTGTGGAACAAGTCACCATGGGAAAAGGGTCTGCTGGCTATTTTCCCATGGAACTGTGTCCTCGCACTGTTGTGGCAGTTTGAAAGAGCCCTGTGTAGACCTGGCAAGGGTGAATCCTTGCATTAGACTGGTTTTTGCTCCCCAGTGTGGGGTGCGTCTTGAAGGACTTATCCACCCCTTCTTTCGTGAAGTCTCATACCTCTCTGTCCAGGTTTCAGTATCCCCTCGTCAGGTGCTAAATCTTGCCATTTCTCCCTCCACGATACCTTGTATCTCTCCCCTTTCCTCTCACAAGAGCACTGGTCTAATTTAGGCCCTTATCACAATTTTCCTGGACTATTTCAGTGACCTCTTAATTTGTCTCCCTGCCTCACTTCCCCCTTCAAGCTACCCTCCCCACAGCTGCCAAAATAATCTTCCTCAAGGACCAATCTGACCATGATATTCCCCTACTCAAGAGTTCACCAATGTAGTGGTTCACCATTGCCTCTAGAATAAAATACAGACTCCTCTCTTTGGCAGTTATAAAGCCCTTCGGAGTTTGCCTTCAGAATACTTCTCCGGATTGATTTCATAATGTTCTCCTTCACACAGTCCTTGGTTTAGCCAAACTGGCCAAAGTGAGCATTCTCTCCCCCACCTCTTTCCCTCTGTAGTCTGTGCCCCATTCTTAGGGTGCTCTCCCCCTCCTCTCTGCCTCTTGGCATCTTGAGGTTCATTCAAGATTCAGCTCAAGTGCCATGACCTAGAGCAGGGAGTCTTCAGCTTCGGCAGTCTGGGGAAGCCTGTGGGCCTCTTCTCACGATCATGATTTTAAATGACTCATAAAATAAAGTACCTCAGATTGCAAAGGAGACCAATTATGTTGAAATAAATATGTAACTTTTTTCCCGTCCAAGTTGATGGACCCCCAACATCTATCCCAGGTGAAGAATCCCTGACCTATAGGAAACCTTTCTTGAACCCTTTAAGTTTTTAGTATTCTCTCCCTTATACTGTATATATGGATCTGTTTAAATATATTCTTCTCCTTCCCCCCCCCATAGAATGTAAGCTCCTCCAGGGCAGGGTCTGTTGTGTTTCTGTCCATATCCAAAGCACTTTGCAGTGTCCTGCACATAGTAAGTGCTTAATAAATGTTTGTTGGATTGGATTAAAGAAGCCAAGTGCAACGGGGTCTCCAGAGAGGGAAAGAGATTAAGCGAGAGCTTTTTAGTGGCCTTGCAGCAATTCAGCCTTTTTTTGGTAGCACTTTCACTTCAGGAAAATTGTTTCTAACCAAAAAAGCAAGTAAGTAAACACACCAGCTTCTTGGAGGGAATGGCATTTGAAATGGATCTGGAAGGCCAGCGGCTCGGATTAGGGTTTTATTGTAGGAGGACGGGTGGGTGGGAGGTGTTGGCGGAAGTAGCTGGAGTATTTGGAGGGGAAATCATTCAAGGGTCAGGCAGAATGAGCAGAGGCTCAGCCATTTTGGCGTGTATCTAGTATATGTGTTGGGGAGTGGTGGGAGACAAGGCTGTATGGATAGGTCAGAGTCAGAATGCACATAGCTTTGAATCTCAGATTGAGGAGTTTGGACTGAATTCATTAGGAGACATTGGAAGCTTCTGAGCAGGGAGGGCACTGACACATTGAAATAAGCCAAAGTGTTTAGATCAGAGTAGAAGGGAAGGATCTGAACTAGTAGGGAATGGGAAGAAGCTCGAGGTTGTGGTGAAGTACGTAGGGATAGTCCTGGAGGTGTACACCCACGTCTCAAGCCCGCGTGCACCATTGGCAGAAAGAAGAAAGGGGAAATAGCTGCTTTGGGGAGGGGAGACAGCATTTGTTTTGGACATCTTGAGAGGAGAGAGGGTTCTGTCGTGCCAGGTCAAGCTGGTCAGCCAGCTTTGTAATTAGGAGCTGGTGTTCAGGAGAGTTGTCACGTAGAAGTGGTGGAAGGTGAGTACGTGGGAATGAGAAAGTGATCAAGGACAGAATGTGGAGGAACTTTCCCCATTTGGGGAGCCAGAGTGGAGGAGAGCCACAGCTTGGCATTATGGCCACTGAGTGTCACTGAGGATACAGATGACTAGAAATCCTCTGTGGGTACCTCCCCAGTAGTTGGCACACATGTCCACAGTTTTGTAAGGCAGTGTTTCCCCTACATGAGTGTCATAGGGTAAAAATCACTATTGGGTATAGGGATATTAAATGGTGTTTTCAGAAATCCTTGTCTCACAGGCAATACTTTTGGTTCCTGTGTTAGCATGGCACAGTAGCTAGAGCAGCGGACTGGGATTCAGGATGAGCTGGGTTTGATTTCCACCTCAGACATTTACTAGCTGTGTGACTCTGGCCAAGTCACTTAGCCTCAGTTTCTTCATCTATAAAATGGGCATAATAATAGCACCTACCTCACAGGGATGTTGTGAGGCTCAAACAAGCTATTGTATGTAAAGCATTTGGCAAACCTTAAAGTACCATATAAATGTGAGCTATTATTAACAGTGTTGATAAGTTTATATAATAAAGTCAAAACATAAAATAAATTTAAATCAAATAACCAACACAGAGAAGGAAGGCACTACATTCTGAGTTAGTGGCGGGTCAAATATAGCAGGCAGGACCTTAACCTATTCTCCGTGCTCCCCTCAGCATTGCAAGGAGCAGTGAGACCCAGCGTAGGCACCCTGATTGGCTCTTGTTTGGCCCCATGGCTGCCACTGTCCCATCTCCTGTTCCTCTGCAGAGAGTTTGGTCTTCCTGTGCACTCCCTCCTAGCAGCTTCACTGCCACCTTTGAAAACTTGCTTTTGTGTGCTTTCTGTAATCAAGGGCAACATTCTCCCTAGGGTTATTGCAGTATTTTGTAGCTGCACTCTTCATTGGGCCACCATTTTTATCCCTGGTGAGAAATATAAGATATCATATAAATGCCAAATGATACTTGTTCTTTTTGTTTCCTGCAAGCCTGAGTTCGGCATCATGTAAGTGCACCTAGATTTACAGATGAAATGTTTCTTCCCCTCTCCCCTTGCAGCTCAGCTCCTTGCAGGAACAGCTGGACTCACTCCTGGAGAAGTAAGGGCAGCTTGACTGTTAGTTGCCTGTAATCTTCATGCTGGCAAGCATCACGCATGCAAACTTTGGGTGCATCCTCTGGGCTGAGGACAACTTGAAGGTGGAAATGTGATTGCATTCACATCTCACTGTTCTGTTGCCTATTGAATTCATCCTGTTTCTGTCTTTGCATCTCCCTTTTGCTTTCCTAGAAACATCACTACTGATAAGTAGAAGATGCTGGTGCCAGGGGCCAGCTTACAGTGAAGTCCCGCCATTAGTGGGCTAGTCACGTTAGCCTGGTCATTCAGGTCCACCTCTGTCACTGGCTTTGACCTGTTACTTTAAGCTTTCTGTGGTTCTGTGGGATCATCAGAGGACTCAGCCATATTGTCCAAAGAGATTTAAGCCTGGAGGCTCTGCAGATGTTCTGCATCTGTTTTTATCCTCTCCTATGCAAAGGAGGGCAAGTCATGTACGTTGTGCTAGGTGCCAGCTCAGGAAAGAGCAGTGATGAATTTGCAGCAATTCGTGCCTGCTGACACCTCTGACCTGGCAGGTTTTAGAAAGCCTGTAACTTAGTGTCATCGAGGCACGGCACCTAAGGAATAGTAGGTTTTTCTTGGCTTTGGTGGGTCAGAAGGCCAATAAGGAGCTGTTGTCCTTAGATTGAGCCTACAGAACAAAACCACCTCCATTAGAGGAAAATCGTGACTTCTGTGATTCCTCCCCATCCCCCCTGGTTTGTCATATACTTTGATTTGAAGGTCTGCCTGTATCTGTTGTGCTTTGTTGAAAATCTCAACTAGTGCTTTTTCAAATAGTTTTGGAAATTTTGTGCTGAAAAATGGGTCCTCATTCCTCTTAATAGGGGCTATCCCACGAAGGAAAGAGTGTTTCCTAATGGAAGTTTTTGAGACCCCAAAACAGCAAACCTTCCAATTAGTTTGGAGCCTCAGTGGAAAAAGGAAAGAGCTCTTCTGATCACTTCCTAATGGACCAGGCAATTCTCAAATTAATCAGAGGAGATTGGGGATTTGGTGAGCAGGGAAAGGGGAGCAGGTAGAAAAGGGATTTGAAAAGGCAGTTCTAGTTCTGCTATTGTCACAAGACATCTTGAGAGGGATTGGGCCTGAATCTTAAGCCTTAGAAAGAGAGGAGGATAAGCTGTGTTTCTCAGGCTTCCCTATGTAGGGCGGCAGAGAAGCTGGTCCTTGGACCTTGAACATGCAGACCAGAACCCACTGTTACCAAAAGCTTTTCCAGCTTGGCGTGGGACCTACCAGCACAGCTGTCAGGAACCCAGGAACTTCTCTGCACCATGATGAGGCCTTGGTGAACAGCCTTCATGGAGGTTCCTGGCTGCTTGCCATGAGAGGAAGCAGATTGTACACGGAGGCCATCTATTGTTCTTGTCAACCAGTCTCACCTCCCCAAGGACGGTTCCTCATTTGTTCTGCTATCACACTGTCCTACAGCCCTCCTTGGTAATATAGCTCTGTACTCATCATAGTTCCTGCCTTGTCTTGGCCAGAAGTAGAAATCTCGTAAAGTTTAAGAAGGAGAAGAATTCATTTGTACATAAGTGGTATGTGTGCTGCCATGTGTGTTTCTTTTTTGTCTGTAACTTCAGATTATATATTCGTTGTAAGCATGGTCAGATGTCTTTTTAGCCTCCACACAATGCCCACTGTTAACGTGGCTGAGGTACCAATGAGAGACAGCATCTGAAGACTCATGGGCTGCCTTTGCTTTCCAAAGGTCCTAGAGAGCTCCCCTGTGAAGAATATTCTCTGGTTTTCTGGAATGGAGGAATTTATGTGCAATACAGAGTTAGGTAGCTTAGCCTTTTGCTCCTAAGAATAAAGCTAGAATATTTGTTGCGGATACCTGTTGCAAATATAAGAACTGAACAGTGTCTTACTTTGGTTACTGAGAATACCATCTCTTCAAAGCCAGGAAAAATTAGGAAGTCCTGATTAAATCCCCTGGTAGCGTTCTTCTTCCTCATATACTTTTGTGGTATGGGCACTCTGGGATCCTCTTTAGAGAGCTAAAAGTGGAGGTTCTAGGGTCTGCTGCTGCTGCCTCTTGGCACATCTCCTTCAGTCTGTAGGCCTTCATGGCGAGTTTGGGGTAGATAGTGACTGACTGATGCCAACCAAAGACTCACATCCCTGTGGAGAGCTGATCCTAGAGAAGCTCCTTGAGGTCAGAGTGTGCTGTGACCCAGGGCCTGCCTTACTGCATACCATCGACTTGGAGAGTTCAGCTAGGGTCATGTCCGGTCTTCTCTAAGGGAAGAGAAAGTAATGCTGAAATCACCGTAAGCAAGGCAAAGCCCTTTCTGGCAGTCCGGAACCTGAAGCCATTCCATTGACAAGTGCTCAAAGGATACGTACAGAGAGCTTTCAAAAGAAAAATTGCAGATTATCAGTAACTACATGAAAAAAATGTTCGAAGTTACTAATAAGAGAAATAATTCTAAGGTTTCACCTCATATCTGTCCAAGTGGCAAAGATGTTAAAAGAGTGGAATAGTCAATACTGCAAGGGCTGCTAGAAGCCAGACGCATACCACAGCGCTGGTGGAGGTGTACGTTGGTTCAGCGAGCCTCAAAAACAATTTGGAATCGTGTGAAAACTGCTCTCAATCAGCAATCCCACTGTTGGGTGTGTGCCCCAAGGAAGTCAATGACAAAGCCCCCATATATACCAAAATATTAATAGCGTTTATAGTAGCAGAAAAGCCCCATAAGCAAAGTGGGTGCCCAGAGATTAGGGAGTGGCCTATCAAACTGGTATAGGAATGGAATGCTATTGCCTGAGGAATTCAGAGAACTCGGGAAGACTCATGAACTGAGGCAAACCAGAACAACAATAATACAATTTGAAAAACAAAACAAAACACTAAAAACCAACTGAACTCTGAGGAATTGAAAAGACTAAGTTTGTTTCCAAAGCACAGATGATGAAACATCCATAAAGAAGCTGAGGACTACTGATGTGGCATGCGGTATACACTCTCAGATGTAGTGCTTGTATTAGAGTTGCATAATTGTTCTTTTGTGTCATTGCCGGGGGTGGGGGGGGGTGGCTTACTGTGAAATGAGTGGTGTAAAAATAAAAGGCATCAATAAAACGTTAAAAAAAAAAACGCAGCCCAAAGCTTTGCTTTCTATTTCCTCCTCCAGCATCCATCTTCCCTCTGCTCCAGGTCTCAGTTCAGCTCTAGAGAAGAGAGTACATGAGTATTGGCCTCAAAGTAGTTCACTTCATTCTGTGAGAACAAGTACTAGCTACCCATCTGGAAGCCAGAAAGGGGCCATGTACACATATTGTGACAAAAGACACGAGCTGTCCGCCTGCCCTTGATTTTGTGCTGGACTCTCTTTAGGGTCGATGAAATGTGTGCTGCTTTCCCCACTCTTGGAGATTTGCCAGCCAACGGGACAAAGAAAGTAAACAGGGAATCACAGTTACACTCAACTGAGAATTAATAAGTAGTAGGTGACTTCAGTGGCCTTTGCCCAGTGGGACTTGCCTCCTTAAAAGATGCAGGGCCTTAGGGAGCTGGAAGTACTCCTTTAAGATCCCAACTAGGTCTATTGGAGGTTCTGAGCAATTAAAATGCTACAAGGCCTGTACTGGAAAGGACTGTGAAATGGAGAGAAGGGTGCTGTGTTTTATGGGGACGTCTCATTCCGTGGGATCAAGGGATGCAGCTAAGGATCTGGCACCAAGTAACTTCAGTCCAGCAAACCATTTGCCGTCTGCCATTGTTTACTGCCCCCGGAGTCTCAGAAATGAATATGCAGTCCAGCCAGAGTCTGATGTTGTCCTCAGAGGCAGCTTTTTACCTGAATTTCTCGTCTTTAAAATGGGGGTGATAATGGCACCTACCTCCCAGGGTGGTCATGAGGATCAGTGAGCTGAGAAGCGCTTGGCATAGAGCAAACACTATATAAATACATTTACAAAACAACCTCTAGGCCTAAAGCCCCCCTCCCCCCACTCCCAATTCATCTCCTGACAGCCTTCAGTTCTCTCCAGCCTTCACTTCTGTAGAGCCTGACTTCCAGGTTGCATTCCTGATTATGACTCATCATTAGAATTGCGTGCTGACTTTTTTTTTTAAGAAAGTTAAGTTTCTTAGTGGCGACTTTTCTGTAACAGCAAAGATGTAAAAGGTAACGTATTTCTTGAGTCCATTGTAGCCTGGATTTGTAATCTATGGGATTCAGACAATTTGATCTCGAGGGCCAAAAAGAGATCAATCATAGGATGTGAAATAGTGATCCAGTAAGATATTGTATGTAAAGTACTTTGAATAATTTAAAACATTGTATGAATTGAGAAGCAAGGTGGTACAGTGGACAAAGGGCTGGATTTGGAGTCACAAGGAAGGGCCTGAATTAAATCCCTGCTTTGCCACTTACTACCTTGGACAAGTCACTTGATCTCCTTATCTGTTAAATGAAGGGATTGAATTAGATGATCTCTAAAGTTCCTTCCAGCTCTAAATCTATAATCCTGTGATCTTCAGGAAGCCCAAGGCAGTAAATGCCTTTGGAGGAGGAGAGCCAAGACCATCCAAAATGCCAAGGCTCAGGAGACAAGAAGCAATAGAGGCAACTCTACTTCTTTTTGAAATCCTGAGCAGTTTCACCAGCAGCTATCCTGAGCCTCAAAGGTACTTAGAGAATCTATGCTTGCAGGCACTCACATTGGTACTAAGTGTTGGGTGGATTTATCTTCCACCATTTTAGGATAATGAAGCTGTGGGGCCAAGACCACCATGAGTTAACTATAGCCTGGGAGGCCTAAAAGTTCTATATTTCTTGACCCAGATGGCTAGACAGAACCTGAGGCCTACAGCCCTCATTCCCTAGCATTTGGTGTGACCAGCTGGGGAAGCTGCTGTTCCTGACCCCAAACTGATGCTCTGGTCAGCCATCACAAGACCTTGGAGTTTGAGCACTTCATTCAACTGGTTCTGTATCAGACAAACTCCCAAGTCCTACTTTTTTTATTCCTGTGTTTCCAAGTTGCTGTCGACTGCCATGAAAATCTCATCCCTTTGCTAGGTCTCCCCATGCTCTCAGCCTTATCAACCTGAGCCCTAGCCCTTCTTGGCCTTCTTATTCCTTCTGGAGCCCCCTTTTTTGTAAAAAGAGAACTACACTTCATTCTCGATCTCTCCATTTCACATTTTCCATCTTCTGCCACTGATGGAAACACGGCTTCTCTGGAAGTGGTTGTTACCCTTGCTATACCCTCTTGCACAGGACCAGGAGGAGCAGGAGGAGGAGACAGTGTATTTCTTGTTCCACACTGCTATCCCCCAACTGTCTCTTTGCTGCTGTTACTCAGGAACTTCTTTCTCCTTCATCAAATATTACTTCATCCCTCTCTATCACCTGGTTTAGATCCTCTGTTGGCCTCTGGGACATCTTTCTCCCTCTTCTGAGGAGTTAAGTACTTGGTTCACAGTCTTTCTCTCCATCCCAATCCCTACTCTAATGCTTGAGGTGATAACCCTCAAAAACCTTGGCTTCTCAGTTCATCAGTTTCCTCAAGCCCCATAACCTGCTTCTTCAGATCACCCCCCTGATTTAGATTCTAGATCTTACCACCACCCCCCCCATTCCTTCTGAAATTCTTTTTTTATTTTTCATTTTTTATTTTTTTGCTTTTTGGTGAGGCAGTGAGGGTTAAGTGACTTGCCCAGGGTCATACAGCTAGTAAGTATCAAGTGTGTGAGGCCAGATTTGAACTTGGGTCCTCCCGACTCCAAGGCCTGAGTTCTATCTACTGTACTGCCTAGGTGCCCCCTGAAATTCTTTAATTTTAGCCTTCCTACTCTGCTGCTTCATTCCTAACCTTGTCCTTATTCATCTCTCTCTTGTCACAGTCTTAACCAGTTCAACAGTATGCTGCCATCTGCCTTTGAATCCCTGTTCCTCTTATTCTGTGGTGGCTCGTGTTTTACCAACAACCACCTCACCATCCCTCCCTTACCCCCAGGATCCCTTTTACCGTCCTCCTCTGCTCCTACTCACAGAATTCTGAACTCTACTCAGGAAAACCACACGACAGTTTACTTATATGTGGGTTGGCTTTTGGGGGTTCTATTTTGGAGGAGGGTAGTCACTAGGAGGTAACCATGATGTGAAGAAAATGATTACTGTGCTGCCGCATAGCAGTCAGTGCCCTCAGTGGCTATTCTAAACCTCTTCTAAACTCTCCTCCAGTCCCTTTACACCACAGTTCTCTCTCAGCAGAACATGTCACTTGAAAATAAATGCCATTCATCAAGACCTTCATCTTCTCCTCTGTACCTCACAACCTCCCTGTGTCAGCTCCCCATATCTGCTTTGGTTTCTTTTATCGGTGCCAACCCTTGTGTTCTTGTCTTCATCACCTTCCCAGAACTTTCCCTTTTGATTATTCTCTTCCACTTCTTATCTTAATTCTCTGCTCATCTATTGGCGCCTTCCCTACTGCCTATAAACGTTTCTAGGTCTTTACCACTTCAAAAACTTTCACTCACCCCTGCCATCCCCACAATCTTCCATCTAATATCTTTCCTCCCTTTCACTGACAAATGTCTAAAAGGAGTCACCTAAACTCATTGTCTCCCTTGTTGTTTTCCACTTTCACCTTTCACTTTGCCCTTTTGTAATCTGGTATCCAGCTGAAATTACTTTCACTGTGGTTTCAGTGATCACTGTAGCTGTTAAGTCCATCAGCTTTCTCTCCTTCCTCATTCTCCTTGACCTCTCTGCAGAATTGCTTTTGGCCAACCACCCCTTCCACCTGAATTCTCTTTTTCTCCCTTGGCTTCTATAACACTACTCAGAAGATGTGTCCCCTTTGCATCTTCTGTGTTCTGTCCACCTAGCCTAATGTCCCTTGGGGCCCTGTCCTGGGTCCTCTTCTCTCTACTGTCTCTTACTCCCCTTAGTAGTCTCATCAGTTATATGGGTCCAGTTATCTCTCTGAGGTTGTCCCCCAAATCTGTGTCTGCATCCCCAGACATGATCCAGAATAGCAGTCCCACAGCACCACCTCCCTGCTGGTGAGCTCCAACTGAATGTCCCATTGGGTAGCCTAGATTCATCAGGGCCAAAATTCAATTCATTAGTTTCTCCCCTAATTTTACCCCTTCTTTACCGTTCTTGTCACTCAGATTCCAAGCTTATTTGTCATCCTTGACACTCCCCTCACTGCTTTCCATTTTCAATCAGTCGCCATGTCTTATCAGGTTTTCCACAGATGTGTTCTGTGTATTTATATTCAACAAATAA